TACTGAATATATTTTATCGTTGAATTCCCTTTTTTATGGTCAGTCGCAGAAATCTGTATGAAGGAAACTTTCAAGGAAAAACTACTTGGCATATCAGTAGAACGAACGTCCGTTAACTCAATGAGCTGAAAAGATAGTTCAACTTTCTGAGGGTAATCCTACCGTTCTATAACATAGAAAATATGTGGTTGAATAGGTTATGCTGCAGACCTCAATAATAATTTCAAATTATTTTATCAAACGTTTGATATTCTTACCATCTTTAATCTGAATTTCGACGCAAAATTTCTGCAAATATTTTGAATTGGTAGAAACGTTATTTCAGCTCAAGATCTTTTCATGAAAAACTAGCGTTTTCCTTTTTTTTCTGACCACTGCGTCATATTCGACATTTGTGGATTCATTATGAAATCCATTTTCATAGCTCATTATTATAAATAAAATATTTTCTATTACTATTTGAAATAGAGTTTATTTGACTTAGGTTATGACATTTTATTTCGACTTTTGATTCATGATGTACGTAGCATAGTAGCCATTTGTGTTGATGTATGCATTTGAAAATGTACTCTAACCTTTTTTCTGCAAAAGTGATTAGCGTTATTTTTATCCTCTAGAAACATGTTTCATCGTGTGTTTTGTGTTTTTCATTTCCCATATATATTTTGAGAGAATGAAACTATTTACATATTTTTGGTTGTTAAATGATGTTTGCGTGACGAACTTCCAATGTCGTAATCTTCTTTTATTTATACTGTAGCTTGGTATAGCATGTCAGTTTGTAGGCAATGACAGTTTAGCGGAGATTCTTATTTTCTTCTGCAGTCACAGTTGGAAATCGTGTGTTTGCTGTGCCCTGGAGATTTTTTATAATTCTAGTATGTTTTTGATACAAATATAGTTACGTTTTAAAGTATTTCTCTTAAACACTTTCTGCAATTTTCTTGATTTTGTGAAAAGTTTGATGACTATTTCACATATACTTCTTATTTTATATGATAGACTTAAAACCATATGGTTTTTATGTTTTGGTTAGATATTTTCTGTTGGAGTTAAATGGACTTTTAGGACTCTTTAATAAATGTTTGTAGCTTTGCTGAGCATATTTTCGTTTGACTTGTCCGAAAATCTGTGGTTAATACAGTATAGGTTTTCTTTGCTTATGTTCAGTGAAGTTTTGGAAGACGTGTATATATAATGCGAATTGTCGTTTTTTGTTCAGTTTCCGCAACTTGGCTTATACAACTTGGGTTTTACTTCAAAAACATATTACAAATGTTATATTACGTACTTCAGATTGGAAAATTGTTATAAGGTCAGATTTGCAACCGTTCACATGTCTGGGACCTGTCTGAAATTATTATGCAAATCATCAAAAAGGGCTGAGACAATTTTTGGTCAAATTTATGCTAGTCCATTACCACCCTTGTTAAAATCTAGTACTTTTCAGTCACTTTTGACGACTATTCTTTGAAATGACTTTATGATAATATACTGCCTGAAGATATTATACAGATTACTTTAATATTTCTAAAATCTAATAAATACTATTTTTCTATTAATTCAAGAATATATATACTGGACTCTCTCGTCGTTTTCCCGACGTATCAGGGTTAAGCAATTCAGTTCCTAAGTACTGACAGTCAGATGCCTGCACATATGATTTGATTATAGTGGGGAACGCTTTGTGAAGAACCAACCACATTTTTGAATAGCCGAATACAGTGATCTAGTGCACAACGTGCCACAAGGTCACCAAACGACCCTCCGCAGGTTTTGAATTCAGAGTTGTCCTTGTGGCGTTGGAATGAGGTATGGGGAGGTAATATTTTTTATTACAATTTTACATACTCTAAATCGTATGGAGCGCTCTTTATTACCAGCTTTTCTGTAGTTTTATCCAACCAACTAGCACTTCATTCCTATATATATATATATATATATATATATATATATATATATATATATATATATTTATACACACAGGGTATCCATAAAGTTCGTGTACACTTTAAAAAAATTATAACTTTTTTTGTATTTGCGACAGAAATAATCAGTAAAAATGTTATAAAGTTTAATGTACCTAGTTATAAGTATAGCTAAAATAACTAATGTGATTTCAGGCATTACTGTAAATCAGTTGGCAAATATTTTCCGTGAACTGCAAAATCGTATTACCCTTTGTATTGCTAATGATGGAGGACATGTGGAAATTTAAATACAATTTCAATAAAACCTTAAAAAAAAATATAGATTTACTTCTTTCTAATCCTTTTTACAAATTATTTCTATCGCAAATACAAATAAAGTTATGAATTTTTTAAAGTGCACACAAACTTTTGGCCCCCCTATATGTGTGTGTGTGTGTGTGTATATATATATATATATATATATATATATATATATATATATATATTTATATATATATATATATATATATATATATATATATTAAAATTAAAATAAATTACCAATACTGTTGAAAATGTTAAAAATTGATAACTAGAAACACAGGAAAAGGGATTTAATAACATGTATCCTAAGAATGTTAGCGAAATAACCACCTTCAACCAACGTACAGATCTTTGAACAGGTTAGAAATCAAGGGAATTGAGACGGACAAAGGTTTTAGAATATTTGGCTGTCAGTACCTAGGAACTGAATATTTCGTCTATCACTACACCTCCTTGGCAGCAAACTTCCAGTAAAGCAAATATTATAAAGCTTCAGAACTGGGCTAAGAATTACTTTAAAATTGCCTTTCCAAAAGACACATGGCACAGTGGATAAAGGCGTTAGTTAGATTCAGTGACAGGACCCAAAGAGTGTGAGTTCAATACCCGGTTAAGGCAGTGAAGAACTTGGAGAGGGTAATTATCAGGAGATAACTGACAACTGATATCTATTAAATATGACACATGAAACTAGAACAGTCTACCACAGCGAGCAAAATAAAGGGTTCTGTTCGCCATTCCAACCACCTGAAGAATGCCGGAGCGTACAACGGCCGAAACGTTGTAATAAATATTTCGACAAATATAAGGACAATAGTCCGAATGATGTAATTAGTGTACATAATGTCTCATCTCAGAAATAGAGGCAAATTCTCAAACATTTATATGTCTTTGATAGCTGTTCTAATTGTTGAACAATTTTATTTACTGTTATTTAAGCAAAAAGACGTTTTAACGCCAGACAGCAACTTTTAAATTCATATTAAGGCTAGTACTGTTTTCTTTGATTCTAACGAATTTTTTCTTCTTAAACTCTGCTTAGCTTTTTCGAACGCATCTTTCGCTATACCAATACGTCTTCGGATTTCAGTGTCACACTTTTCATCCTCTGGTTAAAACATTTCCCAGATATTTAAATTATTGTACATTTTGGTATCTACGATTTGTATTTTGCATTCTGGGCTCGCCCTTTTGCTGAAAAACAGGATATATTAGATTTACTATATAATGAAAAAAGTTGACATATAAAAAAAGTTAGTTTGAACATTACATCTAACATTTGTATTTTTCTGTTTTACTCTACTAAATTTCTAACCTTTGCTTTTGTTTCAAATAACTGTAACAAAGATCATATAAAATAAACTATATTAAGTTTCCTTCTTTTTCGTGGGGCACCCTGTCATTTAAAAATTAACCCAAGCTTTGTTTTGATCTTTAAATAGATCGTTTAAAATTTGACGAATTTTTAAAAGTAAAATCGAGTGATTGTATTTTATGTTATTTGCATAAAAATTCCAGACAAGTTGTATTTACCCATTAATATCATAGACGATAATAGAGTTCTCTAAATTATAGAAAATTCTTAGTGAGCTTCAGTACAATAGGACTTGAACGACCTTTTTGTTCTTTGATGGTCCATAGGAATTGTAGCAAACATTTGCCAATTCCAGACTTATAATTCCATATTTACATTTTTAATCTTTTATTTAAATTTCGATAGGAACTAAAATGAAAATGAAATTGATCCAAGTCAATATAGGTTTATAACAGTTGGAATAATGTAATAAGCTTCTTCATTTTTTGATACAATTAATAATGGAAATTGTTTCTTGGTCAATCATTGACTGCTCTCTTTCAGTAATAGACAGTAATCGCAAGTTGAAATCAAATTGAAATCCGTCCCAATAGAGAAACAGCCACTTAACGCAACGGCTTCAAGCAGCAATGGATTTAAACGTGTCTAGGGTCTTCTTTTACAAGCCTTGGCGCTTCGGGACATGGGAGAACATGGCTCTCGAAAATCTATTAATTGTTGCTGGAATTAGCTATTAAAGCTTTGTGCTTATCCCTCTTTATCCATATTCTGCAATTTATTCTCCACGTCTTATTTTATGTGCTGTAATTCGAGGGCGATCATGTTTCTCTTTAACTGCAAACAAGGGGATAATGCCACTAAGATGCAAAAGGTTACTTGGAATGAAACACAATGAAAGACTTTAGGTTTTAGGAAAACGGAAGGTGACGTTTGGCGTTGGTTTAAAATTTTTAAAGATTGTAGGCAGCAGGGAAACATGAAATTGGAAGGAAGTTCCACGGGCGAGTTGCGCGGGAAAAGAAACTACAAGAACAAAACATATCGCGTGTAGCTATGTAAACAGTAAAACTTTAAGACCTAGTTGCCAATCTAGTATTAAGCTTCATGCACTCACGGCACTAAAGGAGAAAGCTGATCAGCAAAAAAAATCTGCCATGAAAATATTTGTTTATTTTTCTGAAGCAGTAAAAATGGTATAAAGTGAAGTTTTCAGGGAATTTTAAATATACTCTTCATCAATAATATTTGGAATTCAATTTCAGTATTTTCTATCTCCTTATTTAGTTGTTTTTCTTCAAATATTCAAGTAAAATATCGTTTGTCGTCCTAAAGTCATGCACTCAAGCATTCCACTTAAACTTGTTCGCATGTTTTTATTATATCAAAAAACCATTTTCAAAGAAATTTCGACGAATACGTGTATCCCGAAGCCTAAAGATTGCGTGTCTTACGTTTTAATAAATTCAGAGTAGTTTGTCGATGTAAAGAGAAGAATTTGATGCTGTGGGATATTTGCTGGAGAATCAAACGTTGGTTAAAAAGAAAAGCAAAAAAATCCTGACAATAGAAAGTTTTCATCACCTTTTCACAAGTAGTTGAATCAGTGAAGAGTTTTAACAAATAAAAGCTGGTAATTTGTGATATTTCATTTCTTATCGACCTTTGCGACAACAGATTTTCTTTAACCGTTCTAACACATCAAAAGCACACAGGTCATATTTATGACGCAAGCGAATCACGTTCAAGCTCTGGCACAACAAACTTTATAATATATTAGAATTTTTTTTAATTATATCAACAAGCATGTTTCACGTGGCTAAATTTCTAAACTGAACCGTTGGCTCTTATACGTTGAAATCGAGAGTACGCACTCATCATATTTCTCTTTCTTTCTTTTCTCTCTGTCTCTGTCTCTCTGTCTCTCTCTCTCTCTTTCTATATATATATATATATATATATATATATATATATATATATATATATATATATATATATATATATATATATATATATATTATAAAGAAGAGAGAAACCATAAACATTTTGTTTATAATGTGGATATTTTAAAAATATATTTTATTTTCCATATTTTTGCTACACGAATTTCCTGTCTCGTGACCTTCATCAGGCAAAAGTTGTTGTTCCCACATATTATTAAAAGGAATTAATTTTTCTTGTGTTTTCCGATGTTTGACCATTGTCTTTTGTATATAGAAGTAACCCAATTTTTTTCTTGTAGTGAATTGCGTCACTAATACACACAAATGACAATGGTTAAACATTGGAAATCATTAGGAAAATTAATTGCTTTTAATAATATATGAAAAGAACCAATATTTACCTGATGAAGATCGCTTGACCGGAGACCTGTGTAACAAAAATATGTAAAATGAAATAAAATGTATATTAAAAAATCCACATTATAACGAAAAACGTTTGCGATTTTCTCTTATCTTTAAAATATAAACTTTTCTTTCGTTGCAACAACTATAACCTCTCCCCTATATATATATATATATATATATATATATATATATATATATGTATTACTTGTTTTTTACAACATTCTTACATTTTTTTTTCTTTTGCTGGGAGTAAGGTTATATAATTTTGTCCGTATTGTTCATTGTCTTCGTATTGCCCATTGCTTTCTGACATTTCTTTAGCCATTTTCAAGGTCGTTTGTTTTTAGACGTTAATTTTTTTTCATGTTAGATTGTTTAAGATGTTTTATTTGTGTTGTTTTGAATACTAGTAGGAGCGTTTATTCCAGTCCTCTCATGTTGAGCGTGGCTTGAATAAGAATGGGTGTTTTTTATTTTTTTAAAAAAAACCTTGAACGCACAATTTACACTGCTAAATAAGGTGAGGTACAAGATGTTCTATAGGAAAGGTCTCTCTCACAGCAAGATGTTTTCGGTAATGTGATCTATATAAAATACTTGTCAACTGTTTTTTTATTTAACGTGACGTTTGTAACAAATTCCCAATAAATTGTATTTTTTCTCCCGTCACTGACATCGCTATTTTCTTTGTCTTCATTAAAGTTGGTTTCCCCAACTTCTTCCACATATGCAAATTTATGATAGATAGATCTGAGCCAGTGTCAAGTTGTATTTTTATATTTTTATTACTTATTTCGACGGTAACAAATTTTCTGGTTATTCCATCTTTTACCTCGTTGGACTTTAATTTTCTTATTTTATTGTCTTTATTTTTTGACCTGCAATGCGTGCTATTATGACCCACTCTTTTACAGTTGAAACATTTTTTATTCCTAAAATCGCAATATCTGTACAAGTGTAGTTCACCGCAAACAAAACAAGGCCTCGGGAGTTTTTGTTTATTTTTCTCTGGTATTTGACATTTTGCTTGATAATTCGCAATTTTAGAATTCTTTTTGGTAGGCTGACATTCTTCTTTGTAGCGTATTTTCCTTACATGCAAAACGCCAGACTGTTCTATTTTTTTAATCCCTCTTTATGTTAACATATCTTGTTCAGTCCTCTGCCAACCTCTGCACCGTAATACTTGGATTTCGTTCCAATTTTGCCAGTACTAATTTTCTCAACTCTGCGTCTCTTTCCGATACCAGCCCCTGAACAAACACTTAAAATTGTCTGCGCTTAACTCTGCCAGCTTGAATTCTTCACATAGCTTGTTCACATTGGCTGCGTACGTTATATAGTCTTGTTCGTCATCTTTCATCAGATTCAAACATGTCAACCTCTTGTGAAACAGAGATGTCTTTTTACTAAATAATTCACTTAATATATTTACCGCCTCGGTAAATGTCAACTCGCTAGATTTTTGTCGGTAAAATGTAGTTTACCAATTTTTTATGCTCAGCAGTTCCTAATTTGCTTAAATGAAGCCTAACCTCTTTTCCTTCAGACTACGAGTGGCAGTCCTCTTTATACATATACGTCCGTATATTTTTTATATTACTGCACAAAAGGTATCTCTTCATCTGGACTGTACGTGAATATTTTAATTCAAATCCATATTGTATTCTCTGGGAAAAATCATTTTGTAGATTTTTTTCTTTCCTCTTCTCAGTTATTTCCAGAACTTTGTTTTGAAACTCCCTATGCATCGGTTCCATTTTTTGTTGAAATTGCATCTGTCTATTAAAAGTTTCCTCCTGTAGCTGCATCTGGAATGTTTTTTGTTGCTCTAATATTGTCATCTGTTGTTCCGACTGGAAGTTAAAGGATTCCCGGAATATATTTTTGCATTCCTCCATCTTCGCAAGAAGTTTACAGAATGCCTAAATACTGTAGAGGGGGGTCCTACGAATTTGCAATTCGTTACCTTTTTGAGCAAACTGTATTATCGGGGAGAAAAAAATTCTTTTCCCAGACAGATTCTTTCTTTACAGATTTTTTCGTCACTAAGTTGACGTCTTGGCTTGCGAAAAACTTTGCCAAGTTTTTTTTTTTTTTTTTTTTTTTTTTGTGAATCCTAGACTTTGTCGCCGAAGTTATTGTGGCGAGCGAATTTTTTTTCTTCCTCCGTATGAGTGCGAATTCTGGTCGCCAAAGTTGTTGTGGCGAGCGAATTTTTTTCTTCCACCCTATGAGTTCGAATCCCTCGTCGCCAAAAGTTGCTGTGGAGTGATATTCGCAGTGGAGGCTTGTATTTGTACTAGATCGGTCCTAAAAAAGGTTCGACGTACAAAACGTTAGGAACTTGATATAATAGGTATTACGCAGAGTAATCTTGTTGTGGTCGCTGACTACTTTCGTATTCGACTAACTGTCGTCCGACATCGACCGACCGTCGTTTCTATTACTACTCCTACTTATATTAGGTGGCATAGTCTATTAACTATAGAATAGGTGTGTTTCACCATAACAATATATAAATATATGTGTGTTTCGAGTGTGTGTATGTGTGTGTGTAAATGACATAACTAGATGGAGGACACATATTTTCTTTGAGATTTATCGGACATTCAGGGCGGTAAATGTTGTTAATACTGTTTATTATAAAAGAGACCATTTGCTGAAACATTTGTATCTATAAATATAAAGCATAAACAATCTCTCTCTCTCTCTCTCTCTATATATATATATATATATATATATATATATATGTGACATAAAATGACAATTGGAAAAAAATCTTAGATTTTACCAACGCGTTTCGTCTTCCGACTTTTTCAATGCAAAAATGAAATTGAAATGTTTTTGTTGTTATAGTTACACTAAAAAATCCAAATTTAAAAAGATTAGACGCTTCTGTCTAAGTCTTTTTTTTGGTTAATGTAAATTACCTTTATAGTAAGGGATTTTTTCCATGTCGACAATATAGTTAAATAATTTAGCTATATATATATATATATATATATATATATATATATATATATATATATATATATATTACATTGTTTTTTCTGTGTTTGGAAAATTTTAGGTTTCATGAACACCCCAATAAATTTAGGGATAGGTGCAAACTATGTTTAGAAGAAAAAAAAAAAACAGAATAATAAAATATAAAGGCCAGTGCAAACTATTAAATCAACGGAGAGAACTGATCACAAAATGTAGACATAGGAAAAAATTCCACATTACATACAAATACATGTGCATATATGTGGGGTTGTATGTGTACGTCTAGTGGCATATATATATATATGGATATGTAGATGTACATATATGTATGTATGAAGATATGTACGCATATAAGTGTGTTGGACAGCATGATCTATATATTACCCACAATCTATAAATTTATAACTCAACTAATTTACATTAATCTTAACGGGTTTAAGTTTAAATCACCCTTAACTTATTAATAATATTACCCACTTGTAGTACAAAGACTATTTACTGTGAATCCCCGAAAAAAACACACTCGGGGTCTGTATAAGAAACGCCACATAGTAGGAACTGATATTAAATTACAAACAACAAAGGTTCTGGCCATGAATAAACGACAACCCAGACCGCTTTTCCCGGGATAAGATATCTTATGTCCCACTAATCGCTAACACAAACCCATTCTCATTAACAAGGCGTCTACCAGAGGAGGACTGACACTGAAAATAAATTTAAAACAATGCTTTGAGACAGATACTTAGGGCTGATAATAGCCACGTACAGAACGTCTTGAAATAGACTTTTTCTATGTTGTTTTAATTTTTTTACACTATTTACATTATTCGGACTATTGTCCTCATCTTTTCCGCCATATATATAAACAGATAATAGAGGTATGTTTTTTTTTTTTTGCTGTAAAAAATACATATGCTCTGTTAAAATAAAACATCAAGCTCTCTGTGGATTAGTTTTAATAATTAATATTACTAGTATTCACCCGGATTATATACCAACGGATCGATTACCTGTACTCTCTCTCTCATTCTCTCTCTCTCTCTCTCTCTCTCTCTATATATATATATATATATATATATATATATATATATATATATAGATATATATATATATATATATTTGTGTGAGTGCAAATATCATGTTCCATTATCTTTTTTACCGAACCGTTTCCTATATTAATTCTGCCCTTCAGTTTTATCGGTTGCAAATCTCTCGCGTTGACTTCAGGGTCAAATCTTC